GGGGGGGGAATGGGGGAGGCCAGGCTGGGAGGAAGAGGAGGAGGAGGTGCCAGCAGTTGGTCTTTGAGAGCAGGAGGCTTCCCAGAGAAGGCAAGGAGGGAGCCAGGGAGAGGATGCTGGGGAAGGGGAGGTCAGAACGGGCTGCAGACTCGCCATGCTGGGGGCTGGTGAATGTGGTGGGCTGACAGATGGAAGCAGCATCCAGATGGATAGGTGGCCAGATGGAGGGTTCCCTTGCCCAGTGGAGGAAAGGAGAGCACACGGGTCATCCTTTGCCCACAGAATCACGAGTTTCTCTGGCGTGGAAGAGTCTGCTTGGGTGGAGGGGAAGGCTCAAAGGGGCACAGCCAGCAGGGAGACGCACCAGGGGCAGAGGGAAGGGGGGAAAATGGAGACATTGGAGGGAGAAAAAGCCCAACAGGCCTGCCAGAAACCTGCCATCCAGGTAGAGTTGTGCACCAGCTGCCTCCCTCCCTCCTCTCCCAGAGCTTGCTGCCTGCCAGCAGGCAGGGAGAGCCAAGGGCCAGGACGTGCTGGCTTGTGTCCTGTGATGGCCAAGGAACAAGGAAAGAGAAACATTTACCTCCTCCCAGCTCCCTGCTCAGAAGTTCTCGAGGCAGGGAACAATGGGATGCTGCCCTTCTGCATTTCCCCTTTACTTGCCTCCCCATCCTCCCTATCCCATCCCCAGGGTCATGCCAGACCCAGTCCCCTGCACAGGTGGGGGGACCCACACCTCAGAGTAGCTCTGCCCTGTACAGCATGTGCTGAATGGCACAGTCTCCACTTTGGGTTTCTCAGGGGCTCCAATGTGCAGAGGGAAAAGAAAACTCCAGGGCTGCAACTTGCCTTAATACCCTGTCCTAGGGGTCACATGCCTTCCTGGAGGACCTGAGGACAGCTCAGAAATGGGGTCATGTCTCTCTCCCTGTGGTCCTGAGACCCCCGATGTACTGCAGGGATCACTCCAGTGGTTTCCTTGAACTCCAGGAGAGCCCTGACCAGTGGCTATGGGTGGGCTTCTGCCAGAGGGAGGAAATTGCTTCCCTGTTGTCCTCCCACTCCAAATCTGCCATGTGCCTGGTCCATCCTCACTATAAGGCAGCACAGCATGGACTCTGTGAGAAGGAGGTAGACATGTGCTTCATGAGCCAGGGAGCTGGGGGCCAGCAGGAAGCCAGTCTGCCACCATCCCAGCTGCCACTGGCCACTGCCACCCCGGGAGGCAGCCAATGGTGCTGGCAGCTGGCGGGGGAGGTTTGTTTTCCCTTCCCCAGGCATTAACCCCTGGCAGATAAGAGGGGCTCTGGGTGAGCAAACAAGGCCAGGGCAAGGCAAAACACATGTAGCCAGTCAGAAAAGCAGCTTCATGTCAAGGGCTCCCTCCACCTTGCCAGAGGCTTTGCCACCCTGGCACTGCCTGACTGCTCTGAGGTGACCCAAGGACAGGCAGCGGAGGCAGGCAGTATGGCAGGGGGGGATAGAGCCACACAGCGAGGGGTATCCCAGCACATGGGGACAGAAGGATGCAAAGATCCTGCATCGCCTCTCAGCATGCTGCCCTTCACAGCTGGGCCTGCTGAAGGGATCCAGCTCCATCCTGTCCCCCCAGCCCCTGAACGGGGACTGAGCCCAGGGAGGGACTTGTCCCCAGGCAGGGACCCAAACCACTGATGCTCTGAGGTGCCCTGCGTCCCGAATTTTCTCCTTTCCCCAGCTCACCCTCTCCTTATTGTCACATACATTGACAGGGGATCTGCTGATCTGAGTGCCCTTCCTGCTGGCCAGGGAGGTCATCATCCTGCCATTGTGCACCCAGCTGCTGCCTCCCCTCCTGCTCCCAGAGTGTGGGGACCCCTCCTGCCTTCTCCTCCAACCTCAAGCAATCACCTTCCTTGCCATGCCTCAGTTTTCCCTGCCTGCAGAGCAGCTGACCTTCCTGCACCCCCAGCTCTCTGCTGCTCCGACATGTCTGCCCAGCACCCAGGGACTCAGCCAGTGGAGGACAAAGAAACCAACATACAAACACTCCATTTTCCCTTCCTGCTGTCCCTCTTCCCTGAGAAGCAGGCAGTCCCCAGGCCGCACCCTCTCCCCAAGGGTTCATCTGAATCGCAAAAAAGGAGGGAGAGGTTTCTTGCTCCAGGAGCCCGAGCAGGCAGGCAGGGCACCGCTCCAGGAGGAGGTGCTGCCTGGGAGGGAAATCCTCAGCCTGTGTTGTGGCATCGGTCTGGCAAAGCTTCTATGCAGGGAGGGGAAACTGAGGCACACCAAGGTAGATCAGAGGGGTGAGGGAGAGCACATATTTTGGGGGTAAGGACTTTTTTTTCCTCCCCAGGAGGAGGGGCAAGTGAGGGGGACAGCAGGTAACAACCTCCCCACAGTTGCTCACGCACAGCCTTTAACCTCTTTAGTCAGTACTTGGGGTACAGCCAACATGGTTATGAAAATCCTCTCTGAGGACTTCACCATTCCTCTTACCTTGTTTAGGTGGCCAATGAGGGGACCAAGGCACTTGCCCTGTCACCCACTGCCCCATCCATGACTGGCTCCCACTCACTCAGCAGCAGCAGCAGAAGACAGTGGATTAACCCCTAAACCCGCAGCCAGACGCAGCTTCCAGAGGCCCCCGCAGCACCAGGGGTGACCCCAGACTCCCCCTGGGGGACACCTCTGCACCACTACTGGGGATATACTTGCTGCAGGTGATTTCATGGGCGCAACATAGTGCAGGGAAGCAGGGCGACAGGAACCCTTCCCACCTGCTGAAAGACAAGGTGACGTGAGCATTGGAGCAGGAGTGATGGGGAGGCCGGGGATGTGACAGGCCACCCCAGTGCTGGAAGCCCGGCAAGGACTGGTTCTGAGAGCTTTTTCAAAGGTGGGGGCAAGGTGAAGGGTGCAACATGAGCCTGGGGAAGCTGCCACTGCTCAGCTGGGTGTCAGGCTCTCATGGCAAGCGGCGGCTGAAGGCAGAGCTGACGCCAGACATGATCAGCCCGCCACTGGGGGACTTTCGGCACACCATGCACGTGGGGCACGGCGGGGACGTCTTCGGGGACACCTCTTTCCTCAGCAACCATGGTGGGGCCAACACGGCCAAAACCAACAACTTCTTCACCCGGACGCTGCAGCACGTCCGCCGGACACCGCTGAGGAGCCGGGGCAGCGGGAGTCAAGTGGGAACATCACCCGCCCCACCAGCTGTCTCACCCATCATCAAGAATGCCATCTCACTGCCGCAGCTAAATGAGGGGACATATGACAGCAGCAGCAGCCAGGGCTTGACCAGCAAGTTCTCCTTCAAAAGTGCCTCCAACAGCTTCTCCAAAACGCACCAGGCCTATGGTGAGTGAAGCATGGGGCAGAGGCTTGTGCCCAGGCACAGTGCATCCTCTGCAGCCCTTCTCCTTCCCTTGCCTCAGTTTCCCTATCAAGGGACTTTAGGCTCTCAGCAGAGACAGGACATTTAAGTGTCCCCAGTCCTGGTAATCCCTGTGAGACAGTAACCCTAACCTTGCTTTCAACTGCTTGCTCCTGCCCTTGGAGGATCTCTTCCCAGATGCCCTCCAAAGTGGAGCATGGATAGTTTCTCTTTTTCTCCTTCACCCATAGCCCCACACAGCTGGCAGCTTGTGTGGGGCAGTTGTAAGGAGGTGCCCCCATCTCCCCCCAACCCTACACCTTCCCCATGAGCAGCCTCCCTGAGGAAGGCAAAGAGGATGCTGGGACAGTGAAGCAGTACCCACACCAAGGTAATGAGGTCAAGGGGAACCATGGCACAGCCTTCCTCACCTCCATGTAGATGGTCCAACCCTGTCCCAACCCCTCCATCCTCGTGTGCTCCTCAAGGATCTCAGTCCCCCCACTTCCCCATTGCACCCACATCCCTCCTTGCCAGCCAGGGTCCAGGAGGGATCCTTGGGGAAAGGTTGTGGGAAGGACAGTATGCAACAGGACAGCTGGGTGGCTCTTTTCTGGCCTCACAGCACTGGGCAGTGGCTCAGCTTTTCCCCGGGGAGGGAGGTCTGGGGGAGTCTGGGGGCCCTGCAGCAGCCAGAGATGTCTGGCCTCAGAGGGAAAGGCAAGCTGAGACAATGCTGCCATCTCCTGGTCCCACCTGCCTGGCTCATCCCCCACCAGCATCTTATCAAGCCCAGAGCCCACCTGGAGACCCTCAGCTGTGACTCTGGGCTTTGGAGATGTCCACACAGACACTGGCCTGTCCTTTAGAGGCCAGCATCACCGATGGGAGCGTGACCTCCACACTTCGGTGGCAGTGTCCCTTGTCCCCCGCAGATGTAAGGCAGGCTTCCTTCCCCCTCACCAGCCATCTCTTCTGCTTCGCAGGGCTGGAGTCTGGGTTTTGCACCATCCCTCGAGGCCCTCGCTTGGAAAAGGCCCAAGAGAGCATCTTTCCTGGGGAAGCAGAGCTGAAGCGCTCGGACTCCCTGCTCTCCTTCCGCCTGGACCTGGGGCCCTCCCTGATGAGTGAGCTCCTCCAGGTGATGAGCTTCTCTGAAGCCAACGGGAGTGAGGCAGAGGAAGATAGCCCAGACCTCCCATGTGGTGAGGGGACCAAGGATGGGGTCCCTCCAGCACTGGGTGCATTCTATGGAGAGGACAAAGCAACATCCAGCTTCTGGGACCACTCCAGGCAGAGCAGCTTGTTGGGGGCCAGCTCACTGCCAAGACTGTCGGTCCATGCCAATGGAGAGGCACATGCCATCGAGGGCCTTGGAGAGGATCCTGCCTGGGCTTTGGGGCCAGGGGCTGTGCCCAGAGGAACACCATGGCAGAGGCACTGGAACAACGGCACCATCGAGGCAGGAGAGTTTGACCAGGCAGCCCAGGTCCTGGCTCGCCATTACGGTGGGACCAGCACCCCACGGAGCTCAGAGAAGGGTGAGGGTCCCCAGCAGGCCCGGACTCAGACGCTGTGGGAGAGCCCCAACAGCAGCTCACTGTGGTCACAAGTGACAGAGGAGAGCCAGTCCCCCAAGGCCACCTGGAACCAAGGAGAGGAGGAAGAGAAGGTGGAGGAAGAGGAGGAGGAGGCCAAGCTTTCCAGCCTGCAGGAGTGTTATGCTGGTGCCCAGGGAAGGCTCAGTAATTCCTTTGAGTATGCTGATGAGGAGGAGGATGATGAAGTCAAGGTGTAAACAGCCATCCCTCTCATCATGACCCCTTACCAGAGGCACTGGTGCTGGGGTCTTCACCCTCCTCCCAATCCCCCACCCTCTGGCACCAGTGTCACCAGCACACCTAGCAGGCAACATCCTTGCCAAGATGGGGACACTGGCGGGGCCAGAGGGGGGCAGGAGGAGAGCCTGTCTCCTGGGCAGCTCCCTGGGGCTGGGCCAGGCTGCTGCAGAGGGCTGTGAATCACAGCACCATGCATCCCAGCCCTTCCCTGGCCTTACTGTCGTTAGACATTCCCATGTGCCAAAGAAACTCCAAACTGCTTCCTACCTATCCTGTTCCCTCCAGTGCCCTCTCTGCCATCCCTCAGCCTGGGCCCACAGGTATGCCCAGGGACATGCCCCATCCTCCCACCAAAGTCCCCAACCACCCTCTGTGCTGGCACAGGTGCCCTCCTGGAAATATTCCCACCAACAGCTCTGGCATGTAGAGGATGGAGGTCTCCCCAGCTCCAGCTGGTGCAAGACCCTCCCATATAGCACATCTGTCTACCGGGGGAGGTCAGCTGGGGGCTCAAGGGGTAGGCAAACCCCACAGAGGTGAGCTTTCTCTTTTCCGTTCCCCCCCCAAAAGCCATGATCTCAGCACTCAGGAGGTGAGAGCACACACGAGATAATTGCCTTGCAGAGATAATGTCTTTCCACTCACCTCCTGCTGCTGAGCATCACTTAGGACGGCTCTGTTTCTCACCCCTGCTCCCTCGCAGCAGGGAGGGGAGAAACTTCTCAGCTGGCTGGAGGCAGAGGCAAGGTTGTCAGGTCACCAAATTTTGCAGTTCATGCCCTAAAAATTCCTTTCTTTCCCCCCCACCTCAGAACAAGGGGACTCCCACTTTGCAGCTACTCGGTCTGTGCCACCTCTTCATCCTCGCCTCCTCTACCCATTCTCCATATGTGCACCCCTCTTTCCAGTGCATGCCTTCCCAGGGGTACATGTGGAGAACAGCTAATGCCCCTTGCTGAGCTGCCCTGGGCGACACAGCCACCCTGGAACAAGCTGCCCCCCACGCTGCCCCGCGTGCAAACTGGCCCTCACAGAAGTGCCTTTGTGCCACAGCATGGAGCCGAGATGCTTGGGGGCTGAGGTCACCAGAGGGACCCTCACAGGACACCCCTTGTTCTCTGCAACAGGAATGCGTGTGCAGCGGGGGAAGATGCCGGGCCATGGCTCTAAGGCTCCGCTCCCATGCAGCTTACCCACCGCCCAGCTGCTTCTGGCAGGGAGCTCTTCAGAGCAGAATAAAGAGGCTCTGGCATGCATGCATGTGGTACATTAGAGTGCTGCTTGCAGTCAGGTCATCGAGGTTATGGGCAAGCCCATCTCCCCCAGCCTCCCCAGGCAGCTGACTCGTGCTGCCTGACAGAAGCAAGCTACCCCAGCAGCAGCTTCAAGGAGTCCCCCAGCTCTGGCCATTGGCACCCAGCAGGATCAGCCCTATCACCCCTGCACCCTCTGGGGCAGGGACCCCGGCTCTCAGGATGAGCTCCCCCTACCCTCTGCTTCCCAGACCATAACACAAGCTCCAGACCAAAGATCCATATCCGTGGAATATCCCTTCTGCCTCCACTCTGTATCCCATGCACTTATTGTTGTCCTTATTAAAAGTTTTGTTTCTAACTTCTCTCCTGGTGCCTCCCCTCAGCTGCAGTGACCTTATCATCTTCTTTGCTGTGTCTGCCTGTTCCCCAGCCACAAAATCCTATCCTCTCCACTCAGCAAGATTTGCCAGTACCTCTGGGATCCCTGGATTAACTAGCCCGGTACTTTGCTTCTCACCGTGGCTAACAAAGCAAGCTGCTATCCACCTAGCCCCATGTAGCATGCAGGAGGGTACAAGATTTCCTCTCCAGCCCAGCAACAATTCATTTGCAGCCTGAAGCAGATCAGTACCCTTCCCAAAGCTAGTTTGGCTACAGCTCTTCCAGCCCATCAGACATCCTCTGCCTGTGTACCTAGGCAGCAGCAAGCCTTGTGGGTTGGGCAGCAATGATGGAGAGGGAGGGCAGGGCAGCTGCCACCTTGCCTTGGACCAGGCTCTCCATAAGATGCTCTTCTATTCTGCCCTCCTCCCACCTAGGCTAAAGCACCCCGATGTTTGCTGTCATTCCTCAGTCTCACTTAAGACTGGCGAGACACTTTTTAATTAGAGCAGCATCATCTGATAATCAGCACTAATTGCCTGTAGTCCCATGCGAGAGACGCAGACTGGAAGGTGCTAAGCCACATAACCCAGCTGAAACCCCATCCTCCCTCCCCCACTGCCTTCCCCTGCCTCACTTTCTCACTGAAGAGGATTTGGTGGTGAAATGTCAGAGTAATGGGTAACCCGTCTGGAATGTGCCAGCAGGTAAGTGAGATAAGGAGGAAAATTGGAGGAGATAACTCTTTATCTCCTTATTGCCGGCAGGAATGCTGGCTCAGGGGCACACCTGTGCTGCCTTCCCTGTGCCACCATTTCGAGTGGTACCACTCTTGCTGGAGGGCAAGACACCCCTTCCTCCTGCCTGCTGGTCACCAGAGCAGCCAAGAGGAACCAGTGAAACTCATGCCCTGAGGTTCCCAAACCTAACATTTAATTATGTGTTTTTGGGGCACAGAATGCCACATCAAATGCCACACTGCTCACCGCCACACTTTTCTTCCCTTTCCCCTTCATCCCTCCCATCATTCCAAAAAACTCTGGTGCAAGAAGAAACGGTGCATTGTGATGAGATTATACAACCATTCCTGGAGCAATCACATAGCGTCCTCCCGAACCCTACCTAGAGCCTGCTTTGACCTACCTAATATCCATTCATCCTGGTCTGACCTGGAGAAACACCTGCTGTTATCTGGGAGCTACTTCCATCCAACAGGGGCTGCTTTCCTGTTGGTGAGAAAAAACCCCTGAGCTTTGTTGCTGTCTCTCACAGAGCCACAGAGGCAAAGATCTCACAAGAAGCCATAGCAGCTGGAGCAAGCAGTCTCCCACTGCTTGGGTTTTTATTCAAGCTAGGAAGCAGTGCCCATCAGTCCAGCTTGAAGGAGGTGACCCTGAAGCCTCCCTTGACGCTCATGTAGCTGATCTTGTTGTAGCAGTGTCGGTTGGGGAACTCCACTTCATGCCCATCCGGTAGTTTCACTTGGAATTTGTCTGCCAGCATTTCAATGATGACCTGGGAGAGAAGAGGGGAGGAAGGGCAGGAACTGGGGACAAGGAGACTAGGAGGTGAGCATCCAGTCAGAAGGCCTGTTAGACATGAAGGTTGGACCTGGTCCCTACAGCCTTAAGCAAGATGCTGGGGGCTTAGCTGAGGGTGATGCAGGAAATAAGCAGTTGACATCAAGGGTCTAAACTGCTAGATAGACCTGAGGACAAGATCTATCCTGCAGCTGCTTCAGCTACTCAGACTGTAAACTCAGAGCAGTTAAACCCAACTGTGTCTTTATACACCACACGGCTTAGATTTGCTCTGAACAGGGAAAAACAAACCTGTCACCCCAATGCCCTCAGCAGCTGCCTGTGACCAGGAAAAAGACCCTTCACTGATAAACACACACAAGCAGACAGGACAAGAACACATCACTGATCATTGCAAATTAAAGGGATTGTTCCCCAAAGCTGTCATCACCCTTCCCCAAAAGCCAGCCATGACTAAGGAAACAAGCTTCCTCTCCACCACAGTAGAAAAAGGACTGGTCTTAAATGAAGCCCTGTTAATGACTTGGGACATCAGGTGGGGTGAGACAGAAAGTAGGATAGGATCCACATCAGGAGGAAAGGGAGGACAGATTGGCAGCATGGATCCAGGAGTAGTGAGAAGAACTGAGGGAGAGGTTTTTGGACATTGCTCCAAACTCTGGGTTGTCTTAAAGCCTATGCTTGCACAGGAATGAACTAGGGAGAGAAATAAGGTAGAGCAGCAAGATCCTGCTTCCTGGAGATCCCCTTTACCTTCATACATGTCCAAGTATACTCACTTGCTGGGCAGGTATGAGGGTCAGGAAGCACTTACAAAGTCTGAGACAGACAGAGCTCATTAAAAGTTCCCAGAGGAAGCATTGGGGTTCTGAAGGAGTGGTGGATCAATCCTGGCAATCAGGACCAAAACCACAGAGGATGAGGGGATGTTGGGAGGAAGCAGGAGGCATTGGATGGGACTAGGAGCACTAGGGTACAGGAATCCCCACACCACACACATACCCCACAAGACCATGCCAGCACAGACCCCTCACCTTGATAGTGGAGCCCTTGGAGAAACAGAGGTGGTTATCACGATGCTCTGTCTGCCAGGCCTTGGAGCACCTGGAGTTGCAGACAATGACAGACTCACTGAAGCGGGGATTGAAGTGAAGTGCCAGATCCGAGGAGCTGCAGCCGAGATTGATGCTGAAGCTGTGGGTGAACAGGAGAAAGGTCAGCTGCATGGGCAGGGAAGGGTCTTGGAAGAACTGAGACCCAACACACATCTCTGCACCCAATTTCTCCATCAGTGTTGCAGGTGCTTAATGCCTCCTGTTTCCTCATTCTGCTCAGGCGCCAGGAGAGTTTCCATGGTGGTGGTGTAGGGGCTCCCCCAACGCTGAACTATGCTCATGTTTTTTGTATCTGGAGACCTTGGAAAGCCACCTCTTTCTGCAGACCGCTTCATTCCTGGCAAGTTGAAGTGGTTTCTTTGTACTTACCTGTCAGCATCATCAGATATCTTGCCCTTGACCTTCAGGGTATCCCCAGTCTTCATATCCAGGTTGAAGATTTCAAATTTTTCCTAAGGCAGAGAGAAAAATACTCTGTGGGGCTCTTTCAGCCATTCCTCCCCTGCCACTGCAAATGAGACAGTGCTGCTTGGAGAAGGTGCCCCAGCCAGGAGAACATCTGCTCTCAGCCAGTTTTCCCCTCATGGCCAAAACCCCTCCATGATGGAGGTCTTGCTTCTCATGAAGTGAGAGAAGAGCATGCTGAGTGAAGCCAGTAAGCAAGCAAAGACATCAGAAAGAGAGGAGATGAAAACAAGATTGTTCTCAGCACAAGACAAGGAGAGCATGACAGCAGAGGTACAAAGAGGGTTAAAGCAGAGGGGCACAACCCAGGGTTTGGTGGGCAGCATCGCCTGCAGCCCAAGCGATGCAAGCAGTGAGAACGGAGGTGGCTGTGGCTTGCTGGTTCCTCTCTCTGCCTTGCTGAGCTGGGGACCTGGGTGACAGAGGACAGGAACAGCAGCCCTTACAGCCATCTTCCTTGGAGGGTAGAGTAACCAGGCAGGGAACCACCAGCTGTTTAGCTCAGAAACGCTTCACACAGAGGACCTTACATCCCTAGACTTCCTTGTGGCTTACACATTAACAGCACCCCCGCCTCTGCAAGGCTCCACCAACGGCTATTAAACCAGGGGACTTTGATCCAAAGAAATAGCTTCCCTATGTACACTTCCTCTCATTAGGGACTTCAGGAGATTTAACCAATTCCCAGCCTCCTCGGTGGGCTCGCAGTGGAGGGACCACCATACACAGCCCTTAGGGGTGCCTACTCCAGACACCACATAGGACAAGCATCTACCCAGATGGCCATGGAGGTGTGACCACCATGTTCACTTATTTTCTGCATGTAAAAGTTGTACCAAAAGAAGCATTCCAGCTCCTTCCTTTTGTGGCAGGGGGCAGACCCCAAAATCTACATCAAAATGGTCCCCACCATCACTCCTCACAGTGCTCTGAGGAAGGGCTACAAGGGGCTCAGAGGAGAGGACAGCCAACACATCCCCTCTAGATGGCATGAGCTATGAACAGTTCTTTGCAGGAGTAGCATTAGTGGAATCCCAGCTCCTTCCCTTCTTATGGCTCTAGATTTGGGGCCAACTGCCTGGATTGCAGTAGCAATAGGTGGGAGCTCTCTGCAACCTCCCATCCAAGTTCCATCGAGACCCAAGCCTTTTAGTTTGAGGAGCCATGCACATCAGGTTCAGTAGCACCACCCTCCCTAACCCTGAGACATAGGAATGTTGTCCTCACAGGGGAGCATCACCCCTCCTGTCTTCTTCCCAGGTAAGAGCTATGAGTCAGCAGACAGTGACATTGTGTTCATTTGGTTGAACAAATCGGTGGTGTTTTACCAGACATCAGAAGTCAGTGAGAAAGCATGAGGGAAGGAGGCCAAGGCTCAGGAGACCAGCAATCCCTCAGCCCCCTCCCAAGCCCTGCAGAGAGTAGCTGAGTGCAGTCATTCTGCTGCTGGACAGCCAGCTGGAAGACAGCTTCTGCCCTTCCCCAAAACCTCCTAAAGCAAGCAGAGGTAAGTGCTGATAAGCACTCCTTCCCTGGAGGTGTTTCCTATTAGCAGAGGGTGATAAAGCCCAGCAGGCTTCAGGAATCTGTTTGCTCTTGAAGTCACTGAAGCTGTTGGTGAAACCTCCCTGGGCTGAGCATGGAGCCAGCAGGAGCAGGTGCTGGGACTGCAGTTTCTGGCATTGGGTCTGTTTCCCATCACACTGCTGTGTCCCACCTGCACACACCTTCACATCACCCTGCTCCCCAGCAGTCATCCCCGGGAGAACACAGAGCCCAGAACCCCCCTCTCAAAATATCGGAGCATCCCACTTGCTTGAAAGAAAGATGTTCCTTTCCAGCAACTCACATTGTCCCTTTGCAGGGACAAGGGCAGTACAAAGACAGTTTGCATAGCCACCATCAGGATGAGTTAGCTGAACTCACTTGAAGCCAGCCGAGAGAAACAACCCTTCTAGAACTCAAGAGATAACCTCCCAAGACAGATCCTAAACTCATCAGAAAAATCCTGTCTTACGTGGCTGGCCAGGGTGACACAGGAATGTTACGGCAGAGACAAGAATCATGTCCCAGGCCAGCAATGTAGAGGAGCCTTCCCCCCACTTCCCACACAGAGCAGACAGAAGCATCACTCTCACTGGGATTTATCCACTGATCCCACTGGCAGAGCGTGAGGCTGCCCAGGAGGGAGAGCAACACACGTCTGAGGAATGGGAAAAACTACCTGCACAGAGAGTTATGTGCAGAGCCACAATTACCACAGATGTGAGAATATGCAGGGAGGGAGACGGGTAGGAAAGAGGTACAAGCTGCTCAGAGAGGGGCTGTGAGATTTCCAAGTAACATTATCTCCCGCCCTACAATGCTCAGTAGGGGCGTTCACCCCCTTTTATTTGCCACTGGGAACAATAGTGGGAAACCAGGCAGCAACTCTGCCAGTGCTGGTTACTTCCTTCATCTGCAGAGCTGAGCCTCTGCATGATCACACACCAGTCCTGTGCAGATGGCCTCTCATGCAGGAGTATGTGCACCCCACATAGGAAGGGGCTGAGACTTTAGGGACCCCAGAAGAGCCAAAATTCTCCAGTGCAATTGGAGGTGGCAACTGGGATGATGAAAGAAGGGTGAAGGGGACAGGATGATACTTCCCTGCAGACACTGCAAAGCAGAAAGCATGGGGAAACAGTGATATGATGGGAAAGTAAATCCCAAAGAAAGTAAATCCCAAAGTAAATCCCAAAAATCCAGCTAAAAGGCATCTGTGAAGGAGGTGGAGGGTCTGTGCAGTGAGGAAAATATAAGCAATGATTGTGGAAGCTGGCAGCCACCAGTGCAAGGGATCCAGGAACCCTTCACCCCGAGAGAGATGATTCTATAATAGGGTACCTGACTGGGAGTGTCTCTCCAGGGGCCCGTATAGATGTTTATCCTGGCCAGAGGGCAATGGGCCTGTACTGGTATGGGATGCCCGTGTTCAAACCACTGGCACCAGAAGAGGCTTTGCTGAATTCCCAGAGGGTGCCTTGGAACAGCAGAGACCCAACAAGCAGTCACTGGGGCGACGGTGGAGGCCATGACCAACCTGAGGGCAAGGCAAGCTTCCAATAGGGAGCAAGCAGGCCTGCAATTTTGCATGGAGAAAACAAAAAAAAAAATCATATTTTAAGGAGGGAAGAGACCAATACAACCACGTTGGCTTTCAGCCAGAAGGGCGGCAGGGCAGGTCCTCTGCAGAGTGCTTTCACCCCATGAAATGTGGCAGCTCCATTTGCAGAGGTCCCATAAAGTAAGGTTTGGGGTTAACACTCCTTCCCACCCTTTCTGCTAGTCCTGGGGAGATCTCAGGCCACCAGGAGCACCCATGAGATCTAAGGACCCTTAGGGTGGATGCAGACAGCAGCACCTCATGTACCATAGCCTAGAGCTACCACCTCTACCACAGGGCTCCCACACAGCTGTTGAGAACAGACTGAATGCCACCTTCCCCAGCATGTTGCCAAGATCCTCAGCAGCATCATTGCTGGCAGCAGTATTTTGTTTTCTTACTCGAGCAGGAGATAAGCCAGCTAGGTATGAAGCCCTGAGGAAAACCACAGGCTTCCCCACTTCCCAGCCAAGGTAACCCAACCACCCCAGCTGTGAGAGGTTTCTCAGGGCCTTTTGTGGTGGTGGGCAGCCTTCAAAATCCCCAACAGCACACAAAAATGGTCCCCGCCATCCTTGCCCTGAGGAAGGGCTTCAAGGTGCTTGGAGGAGAGGGCAGCCAACATGACCTCTCTCATGGGTCATCACCAGACATGATGCTCAGCCCAGAAGGGAAGAGGGAAAGAGGGAAAGGTGAGGCAGCCACACCAGGTGTATGAATGCCTGTGCTGCTACCCCCTCACCAAACAAAGCTCTGCAAAAGAAGTGAGAGATCCCCTTAGCACCCTCTCAAAAGGCTGTGGTTTCAGCTCAACACTAGACACCAGAGAAGCAGCACAGGAGGAGGATGCTACAGAGAAGGAAAGGTGCCTGTGTCCCATTTTGCACTCAAGACACCAGGGAGTCTGTGCCATGGACTGGGCATTGATGTCTGCTTGAAGCTAAGGGAGATGGAGAGACCGACCATGCATTCTTTCTTAGAGTGGCAGCTGCTCACTACTATTATTTCCTACTGCTTCATATAATTTGTACTCCACAGCAAGCTATTGTCCCTTTCCACTGGCTATTTAATTCCTTGAATAGCCTCTTGGGAAGGATTTCAGTGCAGGAATAAAGAAAAAAGAAAAAACTCCACACAATAAATATCAAGTGGTGACCTGATTTAAACTGTGTTCTCTGACCTCATCTGGGCCCTGGTTGTGGTTCCTCCCAGCATTTGAGATCAAGCCACGTTTCTGCCTCAGTTTCCCCCTTTCATGAAGCCTAGGCAGGGAATGCTCCCTGCCTTAGAGGGGTGGATTTCAAGAAGCTGAACTCTGGACTTTCAGAGGCCAGGGCTCAGGACACCTTGTGATGGAGCTGCTCAGTCCTCCACCTACCAGTCACAGAAATTCCCATAGGTTTGGTGGGATTGGTTTCCCCTTTAGTCAAGGGGTGTTGGTTTGCCTCCCAGCAGACAGTGCTGCAACCTTCACCCAACTAATCCCTAAGCGTTGAAAACCAGCCAGTTTCCTAATGGAGAAGGACAGAGAGAACAAGAAGTACTTACCTCAGCCAAACACTGAGGTAAGCAGGAGACTGGATAAGCAGGTCTGTGGATCTGGAGGGCGTGTACAAGAGAGGATTGTCCAGGAGAGGCAAGAGAAGCCAAGGCAAATGATGAGCACAAGGAAACTGGTGCCCATGAGCAAACCTCCTGCCTAAGAGGTTAATCAGAGCAGGATGGCTCCTCGAGGGAAGTCATTGAAGTCTCTGCATTTGGATCAACTAAAATGGGGAAGGAACAAAGCACTGGAGGTAAATCTCCTGCCACCCCTCATGACCCAGCTCCCTGACAGTGCATCACCTGGAGCCCCTGTGGTAAGTATGGAAATAGCATCCATGCTCTGAACCTGGGGACAAGGGATTAGAGGGCTATCAGCCTCCAATAGGCTGTCCACCAGCATCACTACCCTTCATCTGTATGGTGCAATTTCTCTTTCTTAGGATGCGAGGAATAAGGAGGAGGAAGATCAAAGCTAGCTGAAGAGCTGAAATGTGGGAAAAAACCCCACCTTTCTTCCGGACTAGGGGCAACAGTGGAGGGAACCTGCACCAAGCAGTGGAGCAGATCAAGAGCACAAGGGAGGGGGTAGCCTCAGAGCCTCCATCTCTCTCTCTCCTTACCCTGTCAGAAAGGTGGTGGTGCCACAGTGACTGGCATCTCCCATCTCCATGGTGAGCTCAAATGTGCTCTGATGGATGGTTTCCATCCCCAGGGCCAAGTTATATCCTTATACCTCTGCAGGGGACATCTCACTCGGGCAGCTCTGAAGTCTGTGGCAACACTTTTGTGTGCTACAAGTTATGCACAGAGAGGGGAGGAAGGTAGTTCACATGCATGGGAGCTGGCTCATAAGACATCAGGGTCATTTAATCAAAATAAGCAGCTAGATGATCATGTCTTGTGAGTCCTCAGCTTGCCTGAGGGGCAGGAAAATGAACACAACCAGCAGAGAGTGGAGAAGGGTGGTCAGAGGACTGATTACATGCCAGACAGTTCTGTTTCCAGCCTTCAGCTCTAATTCTTTCCCTCATGGGGGCATGCCAGCAATGTGTGTTGTGGAAAAGGCTTTCAAAAACACATCTGGAGATTAAAAATGCACTTTTGTTGAAAGCTTCCCTACTGGCAAAGAGAAGATATATAGAAGGCTCATGGCTTCCCCCTCTCCTGGACTTTTGGGATCTCCCAGCTTTATCCAGATTTGCTGGATGAGATATTATAACTTTAATGGGAAAAGGATCTTCCAGAGAGCTCTCCATAAAGGATCAGCTTCATGAGGTATTATGCTTCACTCCCACCTTGTTAAGATCTCCAACAGTTTTATCTTACCATTGAGTAAGGAATATGGCAGCCCCTTCATCTTGCACATGGGGAAACTGAGGCACAGATACCCAAGTTCAGACCCAAAAAACCCTCTTCTTCTTTAGATTCTCATCTTAAACCTCCCATGGACAAGTTTGTGGGTTGTTTTTGTTTTTGTTTTTTTTTTTAAATCAGCTTGGCAAACCTGTCCTAGAAGCTAAAAGGAAGCTGGGCTCTCTTGGCTAAATGGAGCTCAAGTATCAGAGATGCTGATCTCTCACCACAGCAACTACTATCAGTAGGAGGTACTGAGCATTCAGTGACTCTGAAAAATATCAGCCTTTGGGACAATTAAGTCCAAAAACCCAAGGCATGCAAAATGAATGGATGCCTTCCAACAGTGGAAGTCAGGGGACTTCCGAGATGCCCCAGGCCCAACTCCCCTGACTTCAAGGGGACCATTTCCCCACAGCAAAGAAAGTGTGAGGCCAGCTGGCTGGAACTCACATAAGCAAAAAGAAACATAGTGTTGCGCCATACACAAAAGGTCCATGGGGACCTCCCTCCATTGAGCTCTGAGCAGCCATCCTGGATTCAACCCCACAGGACAGCAAGGGTATGCAGTGAGAGTGACTGCCCCATCCCCACACAGTGGTCCATCCTGCACAGGGAGAACAAGGCTGCTGGCACTGTGTGACTCACTTTGAGTGCAAGCCCAGGCAGGTTAGACAACTCTGAAGACTTGCAGGAATTCTTCAGACAAGCAGAATCCATCTGAGTCACAAACATGAGGCGTGATGCCAAGGGTGGCTCATCCACTGGGGAAAAAAAAAAAAAGAGAGAAAGAAATGCTAAGGGAGAAATAGCAAGTTTTGAAAAGCCACAAGAATTAGCAGCTCATGGGCTGGAAAGAAGGGAAGAAAAAAAAAAGTCTGTTCTCCCATGTTCACATCACTAAAGTCAAGTGTCCCTCATCTCTGCCGGGAAGCAGCAGGCCACTTTAAGACCCATCAGCTTTGAGAGGGTCTGAAGGGGCAACCCTCCCTGGATCTAAGGCCATGGCTGAGGTCTGCAGAGGAAGGGGTTGTCAAGTCAAAACTATCTGTTGCTCCAAAATCAGCTTGAACAAAAAACTCCCTTTGATGGCCCTGCAAAATGAAATGGTAAAAGCCAAACCAGATGGAAATGGGAAAGAAAAGCTGCCAAAAAAAAAGGGAATCCAAATCCCAAAATGACTGACTCAGTGCAGGAAATGGGCATCTAAAGAGGGAGCTGCAAGCATCTGAAAAAGACCTAAGAAAAGACCAGGGCCACACAGACAACTCTCCCTGTTCCTCTCCTCCCCCCTTCCAGAGCAAGCCACTGAGAAAAGAGTGGATGGAGCCTGACCTGCTGAAAGAGTGCCAAAGGCAACCAAAGTGCAGGAGGTCCCAACTCTCACTGACACAAAGAGTGCTGAATTACCTTTTCCCTGCTTTCCGGTGAGGAGCTACAGCCACAGCCTTGCTTAGAGTTGCCACTAGGTGAAGAAGCTTTTGAAGCCAGCACCTGAGCCTGCTGGGTCATGGCACTGTCCACACCGTACCACAGGGAGCAGGGCAGCAGCTGGGACCCCTCGTCTCCTTTTCCAGCACTATACTGGGCACTAAGGGACACCCTGTGCATTTGAGGACACCCTGTTTTGATGACCAGTCCCATACGTTCATACTGTCCCTCCTCTGTACAGCTCCTGTGAGCCTCTGTTCCTGTTTTTGACCCATTCCATGTAGCCCGTAGTACATAAACGCTCACTTGACCATAGTGGATGTTTATTTTGCATTCCCAGCAGGGATGCTAGGCTGTTGCCTCTGGCTCTCTTTCTGTGTCTCTTCCTGCTGTCCTTACTTTTCCCACCATTGGCAACACAGCCAGGCCAGAACCTGGCTGTGTCTCTCTGGCTGACCCCAGGTTTCTTTGCACTGCTCCTGCTGAGAGCTGCCCAGTAGCAAAGCAGACACCTGACTTTAATTGCAGTCAGATTCCTGGATGGAGAATGCTTGCTCCCGAGAGGGGTATTACAAACTAAATGCTTTGAACACAACTCATACCAGACAAATCTTATCATATCCCAGGCTAAATAGCCCCAAACACTTTGCTATCCACCATGAAACAAACAGACTTGCCAAGCCAGGAATTCTGATAAGAACAGTGCAAGGAGGACCAGTGGCTTCAACTGCCAGGCAAGTTCCCATCTGCACACAGATAGCTTATCTCTTCTGTCGAGATGGGACATGAATCAATGTCTGCTGCACAACAGCAGGGAAAAGCTAGTGGAGACCTGCTCTCTGGTACTGCACACACATGTAGCACTCCTTACAACACCATCCCTGAGGAACATCTCTATTACACATTCAGTCTTATTAGGCAAGGGGTGGGAATCTTTCCTGCACAAGTCCAGCAGAGACGCAGCTCCCCAGGCACCCAGATCAGGATGAGCTGAAGAGTGCCTAGTGTCTACTCTGGACACTGCAGGAGCAGCACAGCAGCTAGAGGATGGCTGGAGGGAAGAGGTCTCATAGCCCACTCCTAAGCCATGTTATGACACTATTGCTTTTAACTGCATCGACTCCCAGCACGCATCCTCTTCCCAAAATTCAACCAGAGCACCGCTAAGGGGAGGCAAGCTACTCAAGTTGCAAAGCTACTTTGTGTGAGGAGGGAGGTGGAAAGAGTAGCAGCCTCTGCTGGGAGCATCTCCTCCTCCTGCACAGAGGAGGACTTGGGC